GACTTTCTCAATCGTCCTTCAATTCCGTTTTCAAGCTCTTCCTCGCTTTCGCTATCCCCTTCTTCGAAATCCTGCATATCTTCGTCCTCATCACTCTCTTCGTCTGACATCCCTGAGCCCTCCTCGTCGCTCGATCGCTTCCTGAAAGGATCATCGTCGCTATCATCCCCGTTCAGTGCATCTCGGCTGACTCGAGAGCCATCATATTCCCGTCCTAATGTGACCGTCTCTGGTTTGCGAAGCTTGCTCTTCCTATATATTCTGTTAGCGCATTGTTAAGCTCAAATGATAGAAATTGAAGCTTTCCTACCCAACGGATTGGTAATGTTCTCTTCCAGCTGCGGCATCTTCGCTCGCTACAGAGGACTCCTCATCATCGCTGCCCCTGCCATCGTCTATATCTTCTGGGTCGAAATCTAGAAAGCGGCAGTGTTTAGCACCTGAATTGGCGGAAATTAGAAGAGCATAATACCTTTTGGAGCGACATCGTCAAGATCAGCAATCTGCTCCATCAGCGACCTCGCGGCCTTATCCTTCCTAGCCATCTTGCCCGTTTCGTCGTCGTATGCCGTCGGGAATAACAGAAGTCTTTGCGATTCAAATCTTCAAATCTTCGATTTTCCACCAAAACATTTTTTTTGCGGTTCCTTTTGGGGAAATTTTACCCGACCGCCAAAAATTGCGGAGAGCAAGATTAGCCGCATTCAAACTGCCGTATCGACATCATAGGAATTGTTGATGGAAGTTGAAGCTTTGGGGTCAGCGAGTTAAATGACTTTTACTTCTCCGGGTTCAGCTTAGGATAATGCGACGGCACTGGTTTTCTACTTTTAGTAGACTATGTTCGCATGAAAACCCTCTGGTAGGTTCGAACTTCTTCGCAATTGGGAGTTTCCGAAGCTAATGGCAGCATTCCGCAGGGTCTACCGCGCTCCGGCACACCACCTCCATTCCCTCGTCGCCAACGAGGCCTTCCCGAGAAGCGGAAGATTCGCGATGTAGATAAGGTGGTGGTAGTCTCGTCTGCTAAGGGCGGGGTCGGAAAGTCAACGATCGCAGGTGTAGCAGCCCCCTTCATATACAACGATACATATCTATAGCGGAATTACCAATCCAGGACTCCTAGCTAATACGGACTTCGCGAAGTGAACCTTGCCCTTGCCTATGCGCGACGTGGGATTCGAGCTGGCATTCTAGACACCGATATATTCGGTCCCTCAATACCCACCCTTCTCAACCTATCCGGCGAACCTCGACTTGACGATAGTACGATCACTACACCCAAGTCATAAGACTACCAAAAAGACTAACATCATCTAGAAAACTGCCTCATCCCCCTCACAAACTATGGCCTCAAATCCATGTCCATGGGCTACCTCCTCCCCCCACCCCCAGGATCCGAAGACACCGGCACCACCTCCCCAATAATGGACAAAACACCCATCAGCTGGCGAGGCCTCATGGTCACAAAAGCCATGCACCAACTCCTCCACTCCGTATCCTGGGGCCCACTCGACGTTCTAATTCTCGACCTTCCCCCAGGAACAGGAGATGTGCAATTGACGATAAACCAAGAGATCGTTATCGACGGAGCGGTCATCGTGTCTACGCCTCAGGACATCGCGCTCCGCGATGCGGTCCGGGGGTTCGGGATGTTTGAGAAGATGAACGTTCCTGTACTTGGTATGGTGCGGAATATGGCATTCTTTTCCTGTCCGCATTGTGGGGAGAAGACGAGTATTTTCTCTGGGGGGGTGGATAAGGATGGGAAGGGTGCTGCGCATGATCATGAGCATAATGGGGGTGTTTTGGGGGCGTGTGATCGACTTGGGATTAATTTCCTTGGTGATATCCCGATTGATGCCCGGGTGTGTGAGGATGCGGACCGTGGTGTTCCAACCGTGGTGGCTGAGGAGGGCGATAGTCAGAGCTTACGACGTAATGCCTTTTTGGACATTGCGGAGAAAGTTGCTCATAAGATTGGCCTGGATTGGCGTTGAAATGCGCATGGCCAGTCTGAGGCATGGGGCATGCCGTCACTGAGAGCTTTGTATAATATTATATTATTATCTTCTAAGGTGATTATTTATATCATGCTCATATACTGATATCTTAAAATATGGGAATGGTATATCGCTAAAAATCCATGCGGTTAACGCCCATTACCTTCATGGCGCTATCTCCTTCAAATCATCCGCAGATGTATCTGCCTGGCCGATATCAGCCACGACAAGTCTACGGCTCCCCGAGCGACTTCGGCTTTTCCTGCCATGGCTCGATCCACCCCCTGAGACAGGCCGATCTGGCGAGGATGTAGTGTCTACCGTTATAGCTGGTATCCGCCCATGGTCTGCAACCTCAGCAGTTTTCTCATCGCCCTCGCGATCCAACTGCTCTTCTCTCTCCTCGGTCTTCTCCTTATCATCTTTACTTCCCCAACGACTCCAAAGTAATAGTCCATAACTCTTAGTCTTCTTCCTCTTCGTCCTTTCTTCAATCACGCGCCTCCCCGCTAATGCGCTCGGGGGAGGACATTCATCCCCATGGAATCTTTCATATCCGTGTATCAATTCTTTGACCCGGTGTTTTTGGACTCGTCGTCTTTCTGAAGAGTACCTTTCGTCCCAATCCTTTTTCGCTGCTAGCCATTTACGAACGGGGCCCGGTTTGATAACCCCTATTTCGGATGGAAGTAGTTGCAATGCAGCGAGTGAGGATGTATCTCCAAGGGGATAGATCCTGCCGTGTCGATCGACTCTTTGGCGGATCATGTGCTGCCGGAATGGTGGAAGGGGATCACCGGCTTTTCCAACAGAGAAATGGGAACCGTCCGAGCTCGCCGCTCCCGTAGCACCGAAATCTTGGGTTGACGACGGATTATCTAAACCGCTTGGAGAACTTTCTGACTCCTCGTCATCATAGTCATCAAGGATATCGATTTCGGTATTTTGCGCGTGAGCTAGGGCCCAAGCACCAAACTGGGCGATGGAACGGTATACATATTTTGCCGGACGTGTGAAGCTGAACGTGGTCGAGACATGACAAAGATCATCCCAGACTTGAAGCTGCACGTGTGTGGGTTTATGGTTGTAGATATTTTCCCGCGCCGGATCGTGCTTATCTGGGTGAATATCGTTTGGCGGATATCCTAGGGGATTAGCAGCTTTGTGGGCCAGGTATATCTGTTCGTCACGAAGTACCTCACCCCCTCCAGTTACTATCAGCAAAGGTGGCAATCCCCCAAGTGACGGCTGTAGCACGGGAGACACTAGGGGATGGGACAGAAGCTGGTTCGTTGTGTACATGTGGATTTGGTCCTTAATTTCCACAATATTGCCATCCAGTTCAAGGGATAAGTTCTTAGTCTGACTCGAGACCTTACTCCTCAACTTAGAAAATTCAGGGACCTTTTGTCCCTCTTGTTGAGACTTTTGGTGGGAAGCCTCTTTTTCCGCCTGCTGAACTAATTCGTAAAGCTCGTCCGTCTTCGGGGGTGGCCAAGAGATTGATGGTTTCTGCATAAAGCCGTGAGGTGGCAGATAGTCGAATGAACCATCACCAGCCAAACTGGGAAAGGAATGCGTTAGATCAACCCACGGTGAAATCAGGATAGCCCCTGCTGGGGAAGGTAGGTTCTGGTCCCTGATTGTCACGAGCGCGCTGCAAAATATGTTAGCACCTGAAGAGGTAGAAAATACCGCAATGGGACCCACGATAGGACCATCCCTCCTCCCGCAGAGTCACCCGCCAATATGATATTTGATGGGTCATATAAAGTTAACAGATACAAATATGCAGCTAAACAGTCATGCAGCCCACATGGGAAGGGAAATTGGGGTGCAAGCCTATATCGAGCTTATATTCGGTGAGCTTTTGACCGCGGTACTAAATACCATGTCACTTACTGCGATATATGTGTGAGCGTGATCATATAAAAGAAATTCGATGTTTTGCGCAGGGAGATTTACCGAGCAAGAACCCTAGCCTTCAACTTTCTCGCATGCCGCTGTATCTGATAGCGATGTTCATCAACGCTTCCAAAGTAGTAGGCCCCTCCGTGTACATAAAGCATGACTCGGGTACATTGACCACCGCTCTGCTTCCTAGCATTGTAGTCTGCAGCCATTTCAATCCATTCCGCCCTGAGCGATTTCGACGTCCCTCTCCACTGCCACCATTTTGCCCCGCCAACCTGTTCAATCCCACTTGGGCCTAATTGAGATACGAGAGCGTCGGCCGCCTTGGAGGTATTCACCTCGGGTATCGTGATATTCTCCACTTTTACCCACCCGGGTGAAGGTACCCATGGCGCCGTAAAGTTCTGTATTTCTTCAACGGTATGGTGGGAAGCGTAATCGAGAAACTTGCGAGTGAGATGGAGGCTTTGGTCGTAGGATATATGAGCCGTGGGCTTCTGGTGAAGCTTCTTGCGATTGAGGTACTATTAAATTCCGTACATTAGATACTTCAAGTAGATATAGGGGTAAGACCATGGAAATGGCATACATGGGAGAACCACGTCGCGACAACCGTAGGGACCACGGCTGCGCCTACCGTTACGGTGTTAAGGGGCATCGCTGCTCAGGAACAGCTCAGTCGACTGCGATAGTTGATTAGGAGAACCATTTGCCACGAGGAAACTGTGATAACTGGCTACAATGAGAAAGGGACGAAACGTAAACTCTCGAGAGATTCTATAGAATGTTGATCTCGTCGCCCTCGTTCCTGTCGTTGATCAACAGGAGATGCGGGAAGGAACTTGGAAGTCATATGATGTCATAATAAACAAAACGAGGGTTTAGGGCTTAGGGCTAGAATCATCTCATTGTCTTCTTTTTGACTATTTCTATTTTCAATCATGCTTCATCTTGAACCCAGCTGAATAGTAATACAAAATTGAGTCAATCACAGCTTTTTGACGTGTTTTATTCGTATCTTGGGAGTGTTTACGCTGTCTCTGGGAAAAAATAAAAAAAATAAAAAAATGTGAAAAAAAAAGTAGGGCCGATCGAGGATCGAACTCGAGACCTGCGGATCTCTACAGATGGATGTTAGTGGACAGAACCTGGAAGTTGTTGATGTGATTAGACCTACGCAATCCGACGCTCTACCGCTGAGCTACCAACCCACTTGCTGTAAATTCGAGCACAAAACATTTATCACCCGACAGACAGAAGCCAGAGACACGAACTCTGAACACTATAAAAGTCCGTATAATCCGAAAACAACATAATTAAATCGAACTCTTGATATTTCTACTTTTATTGATAATTTTCAGGTGTCTCTCTTCACAGCCTCAATGTCCTCATTATACGGGTTCTATGTATGCCCAGACTACATCCGATAGAATCTACTTGATGGCAGCGAGGTTGAGGAAAATAAGATATCTTTTACTAGACTATCAGCGACGAGAGGAAAATCCGAAGGGAGACATTTACAACTTATAGTTACAAGATGAAAAATGTACATATGTAAGAGTGATATCAAATCGCAACAGAAAAGGGGCCCCTTCCTCGTTAACAGACATAGACTTGAACCTTTTAACGTCGAATTGTTTGAGGATTGCTGTATCGCGGGATACACGTTAACTGTAAACTTTGAGGTCGTTGGCGCATAGAGCGCACTCATGCAGTGGCTGCAGCCGAAATTCTGCTCATAGGATTCAGCAAATTTTCCTAAGTAGAAGTACAATAAATAGCACTTTATGATAGGAAGTCGGCGCGCATATTTAAGGAATCTAGTAGATATTATTGCCCGCTGTAAAGAAAGTTTAAGTGTTGTGCCTGTCCGCGTCTTATCAAAAAATTTAAAAATTTCTAGATCTCGTCCTCGTAACCCCCACCACAAGCTTTCTTCTCAACCATATCTCCATTTCTACTCGAACACCTTCGATCGCGTTATCGTTCCGAACCTCGAACATCAATATCTCCACCTCTTACGGCTACAAGAAAGAAAGACTCCCATAAATAAAACCGCTTCCCCGAAGCGCAAAAAATCGCGGCACAATGGCGACCGCACCCGAACACAAACCTCTCCCCGAGGACCCCTCCGCTAGAATAGACCTCGCCATATCCCTAGTCATGCACGACTGGCCCGCCCTCACCCTCGCCGTCCAAAGCTCCTGGGGTGGCCCAACCTCCTCCGACAAGCGCGATTGGTTCTGCGGGGCAATCTCCGAACTATTCGCTGACCGGCCCGAAACAGACGCAGAAGACGTCGAGGACGTTCTTATACAAGTTATGAACGACGAATTTGACGTCGTTGTTGACGATGAGAGTGCGGGGGATGTGGCGGATAAAATTTGCGAGTTGAGGGGGGAGTGTATACAGGGTGACTATGGACAGTTACAGGCTATGTGGGATGTTTGGGGGGAGAGGAAGGATAGGGCGGGGTTGTTTAAGAAGGTGGATTCTAAGGAGGAGGATCAGGAGACTGATGAAGATGAGGAGGATGAAGAGGATGTTGATATGGGGGAGGCTCCGTCTTTGGTTACGTCTACGCGGGAGAAGCCTGCGCCGGAAGTTGATGAGGACGGATTTACGAAAGTTGTTGGGAAGAAGAGGTGATAGGCGTGCGACGATTTATGCTGCTTCCTATATTCCCATGTGGTTTTGTTTTACATATGTTTACGGATGATTTCTACGGAGGCGTTCTGTATAGACAAGGGGGCACGATTCAAGAACTGTGTCAGGGCGAACGTGGCAATTTTAAATCATATTTTTTGCTCTCGCATTCGTAGCTGGGAGTATCTATTTCGAGTTCGGAAAGTTGGGGTCATCATCATCGCCAAAGTTGGCAGTCTTCATTTCATCCTCGTGCCGCGACCCCCTTTTTCTATTCATCATTGGGCTGCGCTTGTCCCGTTTTCGTGGAATGCAGATGGAGTGAGCTCGCATCACGGTGAGCGCCTCATGAAACCCGTGGGAGGATAAGTCTACCTAGTTCGAGGTGTCTGATGTGATGAGCTTCGTGATCATACCGATGGCAATGGTTTGACCCTAGAGTGAAATCATGAATAAGTAACCACAGTATAAAAAGGGGCGGGAAAGGGTATGGGAGGCTAACCTGGTCTCGGAGGGTGAAGCGTCCTAGCTGGTTGTAATCTTCGAATCGTTCCACACAGACAGCACCAGCGCCACCAATGACATCAAGGCGCGCGATGATTGTTTGACCCTTGCTGGCAAATGCTGGTGGTTTCTTGCTCTTTCGTCCGGTTTCCTTCTCAAGCTTGTGAAGAAGGGCTCCAAATGTAACTTCTTCAATGGCGGCATGTACGTGAAGGACGCAGTTGAAACCTGCGGAGAGGATACTCTTTAACTCGAGAATTCTGATTTTAGCCTCAAATGAGGACACACAGTGTACTGGTCGGTTTGGAGAGCACAGAACGAATCCAGGCAGGATATCTTCTTCCTCAACACCTCGTAGACGGACTCGAATCTGGTCACCGCAAGTGGCAGTTTGAATCTCCTCTTCAGTCTCGCCATAAAGTGCAGAGACACCTGCTTCGTCTCGGTTAGGCATGATGAGGTAGTTAGATCCCTTCTTAATGACACCAGACTCGATCCTTCCTTCAATGATGGTACCCATATCCTTATACTTTGCGCTAACTGGCATCATAAATGGAGCATTGATCTTGCGCTCGGGCATCTTCATGTTATGGAGGAACTCGAGGAGTGGTGGACCCTTGTACCAAGGAGCAAGGTCTTTCGGTAGGGGTTTGTCGATACCGAGAGTCCTCTGTGCTGATATTGGCATAAAGTGAAGCTCGTCCTTCTTATAACCCATTCCCTCCAGGAACTTCCCAATCTTGACTGTGCATTCATCGTAACGTGACTTCGCCCATTCCACGGTGGGATCGTCCATCTTGTTCACAGCAACAATGAGCTTCTTCACACCGGAGTTCCTGGCCAACAGCGCGTGCTCTCTGGTTTGACCACCCCTTTCGAACCCAGTCTCATATTCTCCTTTTCTGGCTGAGATGACTAAGATACCAACGTCGGCTTGGGATGCGCCGCCGATCATGTTAGGGACGAATGACTTGTGACCTGGGGCGTCCAGAATAGTATAGTGTCGCTCCATTGGCCCATCTGCCGTTTGGCCAGTAGTCTTAAAGAAAGCACGTCCGACCTCGACGGTCTTACCCTTCGATCGCTCTTCGTTCGTCAGGTCCAATGCCCATGAAAGATACCATGTCTCACGACCAGCATCTTTGGCTTCTTTCTTGTATTTGTCCATTGTCCGCTCATCCACCATTCCCGTACAGTACAATATGCTTCCACCTAGCGTAGATTTTCCAGCATCGACATGGCCGATGAAGATTAGGTTGACGTGTTCCTTCTTTTCACCATAAATTTCCCTTAAAGTAGCCTCATCAACGTCGGCTGCCTGTTCCTTTGCCACAGTGTCAACGTTTCGTGCTGCAACCTTAGATTCGCCGCGGCCGGGACTGGAACGGCCGGAGGAAGGAGTTGGGGATTGCCTGCCACTTGCAGATTTCTTTTCGGCCTTCTTCTCAGTCTTCTCAATAGCCTTGGTTGCGGTAACCTTGGCTCCGGCATCGGCTGCGGCTGCCCCTTTTGCTGCTGCTGGAGGAGTCGGCGTAGAAGTGGCTGAAGCACCCCCGATAGAGAGCACTTTCGCCTTTGGTGCCGCATCGCCACCGATAGATAAAACCTTGGCTTTTGGAGGAGCTGCCGTTTCCGGCTTCGCAGCGGGAGCCTTGGGCTGAGGAGGTGGTGGTTGTTGTTGATACTGCTGTTGTGGAGCTCCTTGTTGATATCCTACATTTTGGGGGTATCCGCCTTGACGTGGGTCGAAATGCTGGTTATATCCTCCAGGTTGTTGGCCATAGCCCTGACCGTATTGCCCGTAGGCGGGTTGTTGCTGATTGTACTGTGGGTATCCTCCATAGCCTTGTTGCTGGCCATATTGTTGACCGTACTGTGGGAAGCCTCCCTGAGGCTGGAACTGCTGTCCGGGTTGGAATGAAGAGGCTCCAGGTTGGAAAGAGCTGGCTCCAGGCCTAAAAGTACCTGCTTGCGGGTTGTTCAGGTTAAGGCTTTGCTGGGTCTGTCGGGAGAGGTTATCGTCTTGTGCCGCGGGGTCATCCTCCCAGGAATCTAGGCCCGACATTCTGAATAAAAAGAGAAAAAAAAACCTAGGAATATGCGGGGTAATAGGCTCCTGGCGAGTTTCAAAAAAAGGGGTGAAAGAAAGATGTTCAAGAGTTGGGCGACAGCAAGATTCCGCAAGTGAGATGACTGTGCCTCCTGTAAAAAAAAGATTGGGATAGGCACTCGCTCCTGCTGGTGAAGGAGGGGCTGACTGTGAGAAATCCTGGCCTATCAGTCTGACTGATAAGCGAACTAGCGCGGGTTAAATTTATTCCTTTTAAAGTTTTCAGCCCCCGCTTAAAGCGCTTAGAGTCTCCTTGGATTAAACGCCCATCTCCCTTAAACCTCTTTCTCCTTTGTTTCCCTCGGCTTTCTGATATAAAAGCAAAGAATGCTGAAATTTGACTTCAGCTGATAATCAAATCTAGTCTTCGGGTTTATGAATGCTTTCTAGATCTCTTCACTTCCATGCCCAGGCTGCCCCTCATGGCTGCCTACGCCTGACTGAGTTTAGACCTCATGTAATAGTAGGGGGTGCATTTATCTGCGGCTGAGAGAAATACCACCTCACCCAACTTCTGTTCATTTGATGGGTTTCATCTTTGAAATTCGCCTGTGAAAAGATACACAAGAGATATAGCAGAGTGGTTCTTAGTATCGCCTCTTACTGAGGCACATCTTTCATTATGGATGTGTTTCTCTCAAAGGTACCTAAACTCCAAACGCTTCCAAAAATGGGTACTGGACAAGCTAACATGTTTCTTATAGGTAACACAACAGGCAATGAACTATGCCATTCGGTAGGTCTGCTGTCCCTTAGATGATCATTGTGTACAAACTAACGCCCTGGAATAGCTCTGGCATCACAATCACGGCTACGTATGCGATACGCCAATCATCACGGCTACTAAAGGTAGTTATTTACTCGTCGAATCAATGGTCGAAGTTTTCGAACTAACTCCGGATAGAATGTTGATGGTTCCGAGCGTGATGAACTCCAATCTCTGCAGGATCG